TATACATACATATAAAAATGTCGAGTTAGTTTTAGATTTTGGGTTTGGTTTCACTTGAAATGGGTTTGGTAATAATTTGACTTTATCTTCTCCAATAATTTCTTAAAGAACTTGATTTTTCTATTGTGTTATTTTTGGTCCAATTCCTTCAAATTATTTCACAGAGAATCTAACAGTTATTATTATTACTTAATGTTTTTTATTTTTCTTTCAGGGGAATAGCAGTTCCCGATCCGACACAACCGCATGGCCTCAAGCTCTTAATAGAAGACTACCCGTACGCCAACGACGGACTCCTGATCTGGTCAGCTATCCAAACGTGGGTTCGAACCTACGTGGACCGTTACTACCCAGACCGGAGATTAATCCGAACAGACCACGAGCTCCAGTCCTGGTACACCGAGTCAATCAACGTCGGACATGCCGATATCGCCGCCGCCGAGTGGTGGCCGGAGCTCTCCACCGCAGAAGACCTCGTCTCCGTCATAACCACCCTCATCTGGCTCGCTTCCGCCCAACACGCCGCCCTCAACTTCGCACAGTACCCCTATGGTGGGTATGTCCCGATCCGACCGCCATTGATGCGTCGGCTCATCCCCGACGAGTCAGACCCCGAGTTTGCGAGTTTCATGTCTGATCCACACAAGTACATCCTGTTGGCTATGCCGAGTGTTCGTCAGGCGACGCAATTCATGGCGGTGGTGGATACTCTGTCGACGCACTCACCGGACGAGGAGTACATTGGCGAGAGGAACCAACCGTCGATTTGGACGGGCGACAGGGAGATGGTGGACGCGTTTTACAAGTTTGCGGCGGAGATCGGACGGTTGGAAAAGGAGATCGAGAAGAGGAACAAAGATCCTAGCCGTCGAAATCGGTGTGGAGTAGGGGTTTTGCCGTACGAGTTACTCGCACCGAGTTCTGAACCCGGCGTGACGTGTCGAGGCGTGCCGAATAGTGTCACAACTTGAAATGTATTATTTGTCGGAGGAAATTTGCTCAAATCTCTTGATAAATATACCTTTTTTCCTCTACTTTACAAATTATAATTTTAATGGTAAATTCTCTAAAATACCCGCAATTTATTGTATATTATTAAGAACACCTCATTCTATTTTATAAAATTGTATATTCTCTCTTATTATTAAATTGATTACGTCATTGTAGAACATTAAATAATTTTTAATTTTTAATTTTTTTATCGAATCCGATGAAAAATCATTTTTCAATATTTAATAAAGTTAAGATTATTCTTTTGTAATAAGATTGTGACAGAATAACGTAATATTTAAAAATGATGTTTTATATTTGTTGAAGTATTTTATAATAAAATTGTATATTCGAATGTAATGTGTATTATGATGAATAATAATTATATTTGGATATCTATTTCATTATCTATGAATAACCCAATATTACAAATTTTTTACGGCTGGCTTTTGATCGAATCCAATGGTGCCGATCCAAAATAATATTTTTCGGTTTAATATATAAGTTAAACTTGACCCATAACTTATAAATCTTTAATCATGAACCAAAACAGTAGAACGAAGTCTTATAGAGATTGGTGTTTAGAAAAAACTATCATTATGATCCAAAATATATGATAACATGATTTTTCTCTCATTTTATTTGATAAGATGTCTAATGTTTTATCACCGGTTTTACATTAGTTATAGATGTTAGTGCAATTATTTGCACATTTTATTTTGGTTGTTAAAAGGTTGTACTTGACTATCTTTCTCAAGTGAATAGAACTGATTGGTTTTCTTTGCTATTTGAATATATATATATATATATATATATGCATAAATGAGAATTAAAGAAGTAGAAAATACGGATTCAGAATCATCTTAGACGGAAAGAATACATTTGGAATTGCTCCAAGAAAAAGTGTGAAGTTTAGCACAAACAAATTTTACAAGTTACATGCATATCCAAATCTTGTTTTCTCTATGAGACTGGAAATTTGTTTTAATATCATATAATATCTACGCATAAACATCAAGATTATACAAAATCGATATCAAAGTTGAGAATTATGAGCAAATCTGTAAAGTTCACTCGAATAAGAGAATTGACATGATTTGTGTTGCATTCGATACGGTCGTTTCCAATGCGTGTTTGAGAAGTACCACAATCGATCAATATTCTTGACGGTAGTCGGTATGGCTAGGTTATTGATTATTTAAGTATATTTCTATATTTAGATCCGCATGATCAATATGTTTGCCATAATTTTTTATATAATCTTTTTGTCTGTCTAAGGCATTTGAATCTTTTCCGACGTGTGGATACGCGTAGAGGGCGAGATATTCTTCTTACCTACTCAGTGATCAGCGATCTAGCCTTGTGAATAGGCCTCGGATCGAAAAGGTTAGCGTTTCTTCCATAGATCTACAATTGTACATGCACGGATTTAGGGTTTGTTTAGAAAAATTATTGTTTTTCACCTTCTACTGCATGAACCTTAGAACCGGATCTATAGGATTGCGAATTGCTACTGAGATCCCAGGAATCCCAACATATATATTTATTCACACTAATAAATTAATAGAGATTAATTAATGTTGTTTATCATATGTCACTTTTAGATCGAGAAAATGACTAAATTTGAAGGAGATCAGTTTTATACCCTTGTTCAATCATGCTTCTCAAAAAGTCTGAGAAATCGTGTCTTCAACCCTAGGAGACAGACCTCACTTATATATACCCGAAAAACTATAATTAGAATGAGAAGAGGAGTTTCCGATTTTGGACCGATCGGTCCAACTTTCGGACGGATCGGTCTGTCACATTTCTGGATCAAGGTAACATTTGGCTCGCCAGGTTGGACCTTCGGTCTGGCCATGTCTGGACCGATCGGTCCACCCATTGGACCGATCGGTCTGGCCTCCGTGCCCCCGAGATCTTATCGTCTTTTCTCGCGTACGTGTCCTTCTCTGTCCCTGTGTGTGACCTTGTAGATTCATCTGATATAGTAGTATAGCCCAAAATCTTTATCTCGGTTATACAAGTCATAGACGGTTTCTAATAAAACACTATGACTATTTATATCGGATAGAGCTAGCTCGTGATGGAACGAAGTCAGTGACGGTTTAGGTGATGATCCTTTTGTAATACGATATCCTATGTAGAACATAGGGCATGAAATAACCTACCTTATCTGATTCAACTGCTTTCTCGTTCACTGAGTTCAACTGTAAGATATACATGACGTTCATCTATGTTGCGCTCACACACTTCCACAGTTTCACTCACTCGAGGGGTCCAACGATATCTCTCTCGCGACGAGAGGTACAAATCTCATATCGACTATCCACTATACTGCACATGATTCATGTTATACCCAAAAGTCGTCTTTATAGTTTTCCGATATCATAGACATTTCAGGTCTAAGGATCCAATCAATGAATCATCACAGGAGATTCAAGACATGATTTATATCTATATGACATCTCATTCGGGTCATCTAATAATATTCCATTCGAAATGAATACCTATGATTGTGATCCGTATCCAATACACATGATCATATCCATGATCATCCATCATACGTCATGCTAGTCTTACTATACTATCATTCCCACAATGATACGCGACTAAGGAATTTAATATCGTTCATAACGAACCATGAATTTTATTATTTATATATCAAGTATGCGAAATAGGTAACGAAACACTCATGTATTAGATCAAACATGAAATATCAATATAATAAAATATCAGTACTTATATCGTAAAACATTATAGAGCACTTAAACCAATCCACCTTATTCAAGGGATTCAAAGATATCTCTCTAATGAGAATAACACATCTCTTCTTGATCATCTACTATTATCACATGATTATAATGTACCCAATAAAAATCTTTATATATGTTTACACATAATGTTTGACCGTGTAGAAGACAACATTATTCATCATATATGATAATAATGATCTCAGATCGAAAGATCATATATCAAACAACCATATAAAATCTAATTATGATTCATATCTATGTATGTTATGTATATATATGGGTATATATATATATATTTGATGAAATTTATTTTATATTAATCAAAAAATGGATCGTACATAGTACATGATCTAAATCTTAGTTCCACATTTGGAGCTTTCGCTAGCTATATACCTAATCCGGAGAAAAGCTTTACAGCAAAGTCTACAATTGAATTAGAATAATTCTTCAATCAAAAACTTATTTCGAAATTGTTAAAAGAGTATCATTTATGGATATATATATATGTATGTTACTATGTATATATACATGTGCTCCACCCAGGTTCGAACACTAACTTTGACAAATCACATATTATCAAAAAAAAAATGTATATATACATGTGTATATATATAGATATATGTTTTTATTGACATATTTATTTTTATTTTTATATATTTATTTTAATTTTTAATCATTTATTTATTTGAGTCTGTTAGATGGTAGATATGATAGCCGGAGTGAACTGTAGATTTGTTATGCATACACAGTCAAATCACTCAACGCACAGGAGTTTTTGTCTTTTAAATATGTTTTTTTGACGAAAATATAGTTTAAGTATTAATTTGTTAAATTTGAAAATTTTTATTTCTTTTTTCCAAAAATTTAATATATAAGACTCGTAAGTATTCGAGAGTAATAACCTCAAATTTATTTGACGTATGAATTCTTTTCATCTATTTATTTTGATTTTGAATTAAATACGATAAAATTAAACCTTAATAATAATTTTGTAATTTTCGCAAGTAACAAACAATATATTATCATCTTTTTATATATACACAGATATCCAACAAAATCCGAATCCAAATATAAGTAGATCGGGTATCTAGCTTTCCAAATCCTAAACTTGAACCGAATAAAAGGTAATTCTCTGGAGGACAATTGAGATGAAGCATACATTCTTATATTTACTAGAAAAGGAAAAAGAATCACACATATAAACCTACAAAATATTCCAAAAACCCAGAAATAAAAAATAAATAAACAGAAGACTAACAGGGAAACATAATTTAAGATTATTTGAATAAATAAAATCAAGCCAAAACTTTGGTCTCTCCTCCTCTTGTATGCTAGCAGTTTACTCTACTTCATGTAATAAAAAGAACAAGAAAACACCTGAGACCTTTGACAAAATCCCAAACAAACAAAAAGAACAAAAAAAAGCACTGCTTGGTGAAGGAAGAAGACACTGATGAAATCAAAATTGGAGAAGTGAAGAGACTACGGACATGAACCTCATGAGAAACCCATAAAGGAAAAAAAAAAAACAACAAACTGCTTGGAATGTGACTTGGAAACTAGCAGAAGTGATGAATGTCGTAAAGAAGTTGTTTTTCGTCATATACAGCTGCAAGATTCCACAGAGAGATTTCACAAATTAGCTAAAATTTTCGTATACGAATCTGGCATTGAGACAAGACAACCATCGATGGATGATTTAGTTAGAAGGGTAGCAGATTGAGAAACGTTACCTTGGTGCCTTTGGAAGTGGACAATAACACAAAACGGTATTTACATCCGCAAAACCTGCACAGTGTAGGGAGAGATGAACACTGGTTTCTTTCTTTTTCTTCCCCGCCCCAAAGAACAAGAAAATCGGAAAGACCATTTCTTGAATACCTTAGTTCATGGTGAAAATGAGTTACAGCCCATGTTCTACTCTCTTATTGTGCATCTTATCTGTGTATCTCAAAAGCTATCTTAAAACGACACTACCGTTTTGTTGAAGGCGTAGGCTTTCGATAAGGGACTGGTAGAACGACTTCAGGGTCCGAACATCACTGCCCTGAAAAAAAAAAAGCCCAACAAGAAACAGGAACCCATGAAAGTTTTGAGAATGGAAAACTCTTGTAATGCGTTAACAAAGTACAAGATATGATTAATCTAATGTTGGTTTTAGAAGAGTAATCTTTTATGCTACCTGCAACTTTTGGCAATACTGCTCTGCCAACTCCCGTGGACAGTGTGCTGATGGAAGAGTTTTTGCCAAAAGATGCATCAGAAATGCATTACCAAATTTCTCATACATCACCTTCTGAGCTATGACGATTTCTCCAAGCAGAATGTGCTGTTAAAACGGACCCAGTGAGTCTTAGAAACTGACACTTCACAAAAGCATGGATATGCACAGCATAATATGTATCGATAGAAACATGAAAGCTTAATGCATAAGAATCTTGATTCTGAAAACACAATGAGATGCGATGACAAATAGCGAAAAAGATCAAGAGAAAAGAGAGGATAATGGTTATACTCACAGTATTTGCATCACTAAACTCAAAAGATTTATCTAGCACACTATACAAACAGCAGTTTGTAGCAAAATTTTCGATCATGAAATTCTGAAATCCGGGAACCTGAAAGCAAAAGATTATCAATTATAAAAGATGGTCCTCGGCAAATGAAAGGGCATTGATCAAATTTAGTGAGAATGCAAAAACCTTCTCCTCGCTGTAAGGCTTCGGGCACCAGTCTTTAATTAGCCTTGTAAATATTTGCACACATGCCTATTTCAACAGCAAAGATTAAAGAACAGGTGGGTAAGTAGGACAAACAATAGCCTAATTCCAAAAACAGAAATGGAAAGGCCGGCATTACACAAACCTTTCTTACGAGTATATCCTTGTGACTACAAGAACTGTACAAAAGGAGCTGCATCATCGGATCCAGGAATCCCCTACTCTTGGGTGTTAGGAAAACAGAGGAGAGATCATGTGTGGCTATCACATGAAGAAATGTGTACAGTGTCCTTTGAAGTTCCATCAATTCTCGAATTTCCTATACAGACAGTTTTTATGAGCCATCACGCTGACAGCTTTCAGGGTGCAAAAAAAAAACCAACTAGGCACACAAGCCGGTGACAAACTAGAACGGATTAAGATTTAAAAAAAAAACAAGCAAAATACCTCGGTAATGGTCCCAGGACCCGAGGGAAACCCATCTCTTGGAATAACATTAAATATCCTACCAGCAATGGCAGGGTATACTTCTTCAAGGATATCACGGAGTGAGGTGTTGAATTTGCAGATAAGCTGATTAAGTAATAGTAGGAAACCAACCATTTCCTTTGGCTGCAGCATCATACAATCACAAATAAGATTAGATTTCCAAAAGCAAGTTATCAACTTCATGTGTCCACTCAACTCTCAGACGAGTTCATTTCCCAAAATGAAGTATCCTGAGCATTGCAATTAGATAATGAAACATCCAAGAAGACAAACAAAACGCAGGAGTTACAATTGGTTTGTGTTGTAACAGAATCGAATTCTGTCCTAGAACACTTATCGAAAGAGGATGATTTTTCAAACTTGTTCTGTACCTCACTTTCAGCAAGTAGCTGTTCCAAAGCCTTGGGAAGGTAAGGGAACACAGATGCTCCAAGGGTGTCCACCATACGGTGTATGAAAGATGTGACCTACGGAGAATTGAAACAATTGAATAAGGAAAGTCTAAAGCAATATCACTTTTTTATTAAAAAAAGAACCCATAAAGATCTGAATACACCTAATCATTAGCATATAAATAAACTCATACCTTACTTCGCAGAGGCTCGACTTTTGGAAACTCAATCAAAATCCTTAGGAGCACATCTAATGTCTACATAGAAAAATGTCATCAGAAAAGACATTAGAAACAATAATTCTTCTCACTTGGGAAGTGACTCATATCGTCAGCCATTCTAGTGTAAAACAAAAAGCAGTTCCTACAACGAAGTTGCAATAAAAACAATCGTAAAAGAAAATTGCAGAGGAGAGGGTCAGCGATCTAAAAGAGCAAAAAAAAAAAGAAAAAAAATGAAATAGGAGGAGGCCTCATACGAACCTGCTTGAACATGAGACCGACTGTAGGACGACTTGCAGTCACAAGACGCTCGCTGAATCCCTGATTTTCAGAAACACAACAAGGACATGACAAAAGGGTCAGAAATTAGTACATAGTAGCAATATCTTAAAGATGGATAGATGTGTTTCTGGAAACTGTGAGACTGGAAAATGATCAAATTGACAAACTAAGGAATTTTCAGCTGAGACAATTAGAAATGAATCAACTTCTGTTCGAAGTGCATTTGATATAGGAAAAGAAATGAGAGGAAACCTTGCTGAGAGCATTTATTGCCATTATCGCAAACTGGATATTAGCTATTTTCACAGGGAATTCTTCGGGACTCGCCATTTTTGCCTGCACGAGTGCTGCCTCAATCTGGTGCAAGCATATGGGAAGGGCATAAATAAATTGGGGACTAAATACTCCGCGAGACTGCCACGCAAAAAAGTAGAGACTAGAAAAGAAAACCTGCTGACAAAGAGGGGTGAGCAGAGAAGAGAGATAATCTGACTGCTTTTCAGCTGGAACATCCTCCAATCCGATGAGTAACCCAATCGCCTGCACGAAGTTACATTGAGAAATGGAGAATAATTTTAGTTTAGAGTCCCCGAACATAATTTTCCCAACTCAGGTACATGTAATGAATTTAACTCCACGAAAATCAGCATTCATAACCTCAAAAATGTGACTGCCATCTTCAGTTCCTGAAAGTTCTCTTGATGAGAAATTCATGCTTGTCAACTGGGCAACTGTATCTTGGAGACTCTGATTATTATCAAAGATTTGTCATTTTTAGACCAAGAAATGATAACGATGCAACAAAAGGATCTGATGTATGAAATTGGTAAAGATAAAACGAATTGTGAACTGGAAGGAAGCGGTTCCTTGCCTGCAGTATCGTGTCAATGAATGGGACAAGTTTTGATTTCAACAGTTTCACGGCTCTCATGAACAAATAACAAGCTCTACGGCTCACATGGACGTTCTGATGGTGCAAACCTCTTTCATCTAGGAAAGCACCAAGAACCATGGGGATGTACTGGGTATTTTCTTGAATAAACTTCATGTACCTTGTTATGTTTTCCAAGTACACAAGCGCAACTAGCCTATGAGAATGACCTGGAAACCGTGTAGACAAGAGCATCGGAATTAATTCACGTAAACATCCAGAACCAGTTTTCAGTGACTCATCGGTCATAGATTCTCCAAATGAATAAAGAAGTGAAAGGGCAGCTTCCACTTCTTCGACATTTCTCTCGGAAGAAGATTTAACAGCACTTGCTAGTGCATTTCGGATAAAATGCTGACTGATTTCAGGAGCAACACGTCCCACAGTACGCAATAAGACAAACAAATCTTTTCTAAACTCAGACATTCTATCTTCTTCTTCCAATCCGATTTTGTCCAGTGCATCAAGGTTATTCCGATACATAGAGTCATAACAGATTTGGGTTCTAATCACTTCAAGAATCTGATTGAGGTGGAGCAGTTGCTTCTCCTTTAAAGCAGGAAGGCCTTTGAGAGTGGAAACATAACCCAGGAGAAACTGAACAATGCTAAAGGTAGCATCCACTTCACAGTTCTGCATTACGTAAAAAACTGATGGCAGGACTTCATTCAGCAATTCCATGGAAATTGCCTTAGTGTCCTCTGAGTTCAACCTTTTGTGGCATTCTAGAACCTCAACAGCATATCCAGTAAGCAGAGCAGAAACTTTAGATACCAACTCTGAATCAACATCCTCAGACACTAACCCAAAAACACGGCTTATTTGAAGAGTCTGTAAAAGGGGAAGTTTTGACTGATAATCCATTCGCTTAGAAACCATGGCCAATACACACCCAGCTGCTGCACCACGGAGCTGATCAGACAAACCATCCGACAAAATTAAGTCAAACAGTAACGGGATAAATGCATCATTTGCAATCAATCCAATATCAATCCAACAGACAAATCTTCTCATGCAATCTAACACCGTAGCAGAGAGATCGGGATCTGAATTCCTGTACAACGAGACAATGTCATACCATGCTCTAGCAAACTGAGGTATACATTGCTGCCTCATTGCGTCCTTGACACGAGTAGCCACAGACATATCTTCAGATGTCCGAGGATAATCCAAGCTAATCAACTCATCATCCAAAGCATTCAAAACACGACAAAACATGTCGATCACAACTGCCCCCTTGCTCAAATGAGGCAGAAAATCAACGAACACGGACGACCAAATCAAAGGGTACTCGAAATATATCAAAGTAACCAAAACCTGAGCGAGCTTGTTTTTGACAAATGCCGGTCCTTCCACAACTCTAACAGCACTCTCATTATCAACCAGCTCCAAGCACGCCATTGAAAACACGGATTTCCTCACGTAACTCTTCTCGTCGGAGCTCATGGATCCGTACTTGACTCTTATAACATCCTGCAGAGTCTGCAAGCACCAGAACTGAACTTGAACAAGCTTAGAGAACCAAAGCTTCTCAATGCATATACTGCATATAGACGGAGTCTCCTTGATTTGCTGACAATAAGTAACCGCATGGGACTTTAACGCCGAATCAACAACACCCGATTCATCGAAACTAATCAGTATCGCCTTTTCAAGGTCATCCATTGTTAACCCCAAACCCCCCAAAAACCCTAAAACCGGGTACTTAATTCTTGTCAATTTATCGCGAAAAAAGCTCAGTAAAGCTCCGAGCCAGTAATCGTATCCGAATCCGAAGCTCGATCTCCTTCAAAGGGTCCCTCCCAGATCGGATCCCAAGGCCAAAATACGCGAGAAGGGGGGATTCTCAGAGGAATTTGGAGGCTGATTCAATGACAAGGGCTTACCAAAAATATGGATCGTCACAACAAAACGAAACTAGGGCTCGTGATTTTCGGCTCTGTCGAGGAGGAGGAGGCTAGAAACCCTAGGCCGAGTTTCTCCCAATTCTAGATTAAAGTTTTTTATTTTCCAATTTCGTTGTCTGTGAAATTTATAGTAAATTCTCCTCGGGAAAATCTACATACGACTCCGGAAGAAGACGAACGTTACGGCTTTAATGATACGGAGTCGTAATTTTAATCTATTTTAATTTTAATGCGTGCAATTACGAATTTAACTATTAAAGACTTTATTTAAGACTCAAGCTATTAGGCCTAATGGGCCTTAAATATTTGGGCCACCTAGACCTATGATTCACTGAACGGTCCAAAATTCATATAAATGATGTAATATTAGGGAGTTTATCATTTAAAAATATAAAATATTCAACTGTATTCCACTGAATGTTTTGATTCACAGTAAATTATTACCAAACTTCCATATAAAAACCGAACTTTTAAAATTTCAACATGTTTGATATTGACGATATGATAAATGCTGTTTCATTCCGTTAACGGCATCTACATGTTCTTTGCTTATCGATTACTTCATATTATATCTTTTTCTACGTATTGATAAGAATATAAATGGATATTTGTATTAACCATTCGATATAAACAAAATAAATCATTTGAATTCTCCAGTATTTTATTATTTTTTTTATAACAAAATAGAATATTTTAATGAACTTGCTGCACTTTAGGAGTTTGAAGTAACGATCCATGGAATTATTTTATTGTGGTATATGTAATTACGAAAGAGTTATTGGGTTGATGTTAATCATTTTGAGTATATGATAGAATCTCTTATATATAGAGAGGGAGGGAGTAAAATTGTCTTAAAGATTATATAAGGGAATATACTAAAATCACGAACTTTTACGCAAAAAAAAAAAATCATATAAAGATTATCGAACTTGGAGATAGCTGATAAATTAATACCAAACTTTTTAAATTTACAAATTAAATATGAATTCGTCGATTTTGATATAAAAAATACTAAACTTTTAAATTTTTGACAAAAACACCATCGACGTTAAACGGCGTTAAATCAGTTAATACACGATCTGACGTGGCGGGTGACTCAATGACTCATCAGATAAAAATTTAATTAAAAAATAAACAAAACAAAAAAAATAAAAAACAATAATAATAATAAAAATAAACTTCTGAAGGTGAAAGATGGATACTGAATCGGAGATTCGAAGCGTATGACGGGTTTGCTCAGCTGGAAAGCTGCCGACATTTTGAGGAGCATTACGCATTGCTGTCGGGGTTAAGTTACCTCTCCTCTTTGGTTCCCCTTTTCTCTGTAAATGCATAGGTTTGGATTCGATCATCAGTTTTCCTTTTTTGGAATGAAATTATTTTTTTTTTCTCATACATCCATCTTGATGTGTTGCAGTTGCGTATTACTGCTTCAGACCACAAATGAACTGAATTGCCCATCATCGTTCATCAAGATTCGATTTACTGATAAATCTGTTCGCACACAAGACGTGATGAGCAAAATTACAATATTACAGAAACTAACCACCAAAAGAAAAAGAAACTAAAAAACTGGACAAGTCTAACACTTGCTGTGGGTGAAGCGGGCGGGTGAATAAGTACCGTTGGTTTCCTATATAAGAATCATCAAAATATTATGATACAAATTGGAGCTTCTCCCCATTCCTCTCCTCTCTCCAAAACATCAATGATATGTGCTTCCACTTCTCTTTAGGAAGGCATTGTCTTTTAACTCCTGAAACCAAGAGGCAAACAGTAATCACTTCACTCCTCCTCATATCACTAGGGAGCAAACACACCACACACAAACAGAAAGCTTTCAAGTATCATTCTCTTAAACAAGAGCATAATCTAAGCTGTTTTATGGAGAAGATTGTGTCCATAAACAAAGCTTCCCACTCAAATGACAGAAAAAAGCAAATGACCTAAGAGATGATGAGCCATTTTTTTTTTAAAAAAAAGGTTAAGCTGTATGGTATTGAAGCATTTACCAAGAAGATGAACATCGCACCGAGCAGAGCAGCTAGCAAAATTAACACAAGCCCAGCTTTATACTACAGAGAAGTTCGCTTAGATTCATGGGATGGTTAGTAACGTGTCATTTGTTGCAGCATATGAGGTCCTGGAGATTGCTGAACCAACTGTTCTGAACTTGGTGATGGTCTTAAGACATGGCTGGGGCCTGGACCCATTGGGTTCACCATCCCCTGTCTAATAGTTTCCCTTGGATTACTTGCATTATTTGTCTCTGGCTTTGACGACTCCAACAAAGTGCGCACCTGGCAACGCAGAATAGAAATCTTGAGATCATCGTAAGGTTCATTATATGCAAACCCGTAAAATAAATATAATTAAGCTTACCATTTCAAGTCGCTTCTTGTGAAGATCGCTAGGTACAACCTGCAAGTTGTTAACTTACGAATCAAAAGCATGTAGAAGAGAATTTTACTAAGCTCTTTACGGGTCCACCTTTAAAATATTCAAATAAGGATGTAGATTCACAGATAGGGACAATGCGTGCTTCTCTGACAAGTGAAAAGACTAGAATTTTCTTACAGTTTTCTTTCGGTGTCTGTCTTCACTTGAGAATCCCGGAACCGTCAAGTGCAAATTTTTCTCTGCATATGACACCACACCACCAAGTAAGAAACCTAAGCAAACAGTTCTTAGAAGTAAGATGAGTTCCAGGACCAGGAAAAAAAGAAACATAAAACGGCAAGAGCTAAATTTCCTCTATCTCAACTTCATCGAAAATGCCAGAAAGGTTCATAAAAATCTCCCCAATCATCAGAGGAAACGAGCAACAATAGCAACTAACTGTACTTCGCACTGAACATTTGAACACTGAGAAAGAAAATTTCAGCACGAACCTAGGTGTAGCAGTACATCCCTGGGCTCCAAAGTTGAAGATTTACGGTGCTTAGCCAAGCTACAAGCAAAAGTAGTGACCTGCAAGTAAGACAGATATCGGTTTCTGGTTAGATAATTTTCGCACTGTTTTGAAATTTAAAATCATTATAGCGATGAAGCTGCCTTTTGGGGAATAGGAAAGGGCACAAGGCGCTGGAAACCAAAGCAATGTAGCTCAGAAAGTAAAGAGTTGTATATAGTACATTTTACAACTAATAGAGTGATGGGCAGTAAGTTAAACAAATGCTTGGCCGAGTTGACAATGTAGTTCTTAACTCATGAAACCATATAGGGCAGTCCTCTGATGCCCCCACCATAAATAAGTAGAAGGTAAATAGTTCACAGCCGCTCACCGAATCAATGAAGTCATCTGCTATCTCCAAAAGCAGGTCTTCGACATCAGGATCTAATTTCCCATGTATATCCACCTGAATAACAATAATAATTAAGGAACGATGATGATGGAATAGAGAAATGAAAGTGAGGGAGTTCAACAAGCAAATGACCTGGGATACTAGATCTTGTATCTTTCTTTTGCCAAGCAACTGGTTTGTTGCTTCTGTTCCCTGGCTTGAACTACCACCCGGTGTTGTTGTACCTGATGCGGTAGCATCCGGTTGTGAACCAGTCAAACTGACAGATTTCTGACCTGCAGGACCTGACACCCTCGGAGATGGTTGTTGTTGTTGATGTTGATTGATTTGGAGTAGGTGATGCTGTTGCTGCATTTGCTTATGCGGTTGCTTCTGATGCTGTGGCTGCTGCTGCATTTGTTGTAGTTGTTGCTGTTGCTGCTGTTGTTGTGATTGTTGTTGTTGTTGTTGTTGCTGCTGCTGCTGCTGCTGCTGTTGTGGCTGAGGTTGACTCATCTGAGGCTGTCCTATTTGTGGTGGTTGTTGCTGCTGCTGCTGCTGCTGTATCAACTGTGATAACTGCTGTTGATTCAAGGGCATAGAAGCTTGGTGAAACTGAGAAGATGGCAGTTGTTGCTGCTGCAAGAGCATAGCCTGCCTCTGATTCTGTTGGAGTCGGAATGATGGTGAATTGGCCATTCCTGACATTTGCTGCAGCCATTGCTGCTGAGCCAAGGAGCTCTGCATCACACCAGCCTGTCCATTCTGAGCCAGACCAGATAACTGGGGATTCATGAATGCAAGGGAAGATGTTCTCGGAAGGTTTTGGACCTAGACAAAACATACAGAAATTACATAGAGATTGACTGAATACAACTGCTGTTTTAGGGAATCTTCTTTACGCAAAGGAAAGGAACATATGATCTAAGTATGAACACGACAGCTGTAGAATTTGCTTGCTACTACATATCTATTTGGTCCTATATATATACATATATATACAGGTGTACATGGTAAATCGGTTAAAATACAATAAAGAATCCAACATCATGCGGTATATTTGCCGAATAGAGATCTTGAAAAGATGCAGGCAAGCCAAGATTCAAAACCTAATTTGTTGCTATCAAGCTCTTAGCATGACATGGATAAACTTACCAAATGCATAACAATAAGCAAAAGGTGATACAAGGTTCAACCCAAGAAATCATCTAATGGATGTTGCTATAGAATCATAAGATCACATAACAAAGTGTTAGACAACTGTGTCAAAATCTGAGAAAAAGAACTCTAAGGTGCAACCTACACATCCAGGGGGCAGGGGTTATTAACGCGAGTGAGAAAACAATGTTTTACTCGTACCTGAGGTGAATTGAGAGAATTTTGCTGTGACAACTGCTGTCTCATCTGCCCGGGGTTGATCCGCTGTTGAGCATAAAGGGCTGCATTGCCTCTCATTTGCGAACTCAAATTCAGTGAACCCATCATTCCCATCGCTTGCATCCCCGGTAACTGCTGCCCAGAAGTTCCTGGGTGAAATTGTGAACCTTGAACCAGGCCAGATTTCTGCTTCGGCTGCATGAAAAAAACCTCGCTTTTCTCAGAATTGATAAAGAAGATTTCATGGCAGAGATGGCGAAACTGCGTTATTTAACCATATTCACATCAAACAACAAAACATTGAAGCCATCTCCATTTATTTGCTGGTATTCTCCAGTAATCCCCACGTGAATGAATTGCATCTTGATGTCAAAAAGCAAGCCACAAACAGGAGTTAAAAACCGGAAGTTTAACTACCAAAGAAACTACTTCCAATCTCCAGACTAGTTCTCCACGAGAAATTCGAATTGAGAGAATCCATCAAAGAAATAGCCTGAGCAAGTGAAACTATTTCTTATGAAAAGGGTTTCTTCAACTATCATCAAAGAACTATCTTCAACTTACCGGGCAAAAGATTGTTCAAGAGCAGCTAAGTCTCAATATGTTAATTCCATCAGCAAAAGGTTAAAAAAAAAAGGAAGGAAGACAAGTGATTGAATACCGAAGCTGCCAATAATTGGGACTGTATATTCAACTGAGATGCTCCACCTGCACCGTTGAGCATCGGCAACTGGCCACTTTGCCCAACCAAAGCCGCACGAGACAAGTTTGGATTACCCGTCTGCTGATTCTGCTGCAAAGTTTGCTGATTCTGCTGAATTGAAGCCGACCCACCAAAGTTCATCTGGCCGTACAACCCAGCTTGTTGCCTCAATACATTACCGTATTGACCTTGCTGCTGTAACTGCTGTTGTTGAATTTGATTCAGGCGAGATACGGAAGGGGATCGCTGGAGAGATTGAGCGATTTGGTAGTTCGACATGGGAATTTGTTGCTGACCCATGTGTTGTTGCTGCTGCTGCTGTTGCGTTAATTGAGGAAGGGAAGACGAAGAGATTTGCTGCAGAATCTGTTGTTGTTGCTGCTGCTGAGGCAGTTGCTGATTCTGCTGAGTTACTTGAACTATTTGCTGGCTCGGCGTTTGCGGATCCAGCGACGGAGATGGGTGAGACAGAGGGGACGGCGACGAGATCTGTGGTCCCGCGGCTGCGTTCGGGGGCGGCGGCGTAGGGCTCGGAGACGGTTGCGAATTACCGCCACCTTTCTGAATTATGCCCTGAGGCGTCGCCCCCGCGGCAATCGGTGGAGGAGGTGCAGACGACGAAGAGGAGGGTTCCATGAGATTAGGGAATCGAAAGAGAGGTTTCGGTGACAACGAAGATGAAGCGGTGGTTTCCACCAGTGGATTCGGAGAATTTCTTGTTGTTTCTTGACGATTTTTCTTGCCGGAATCGTTAAATGTTTCCCAGAAAATTTACAGAGCGAGGAAAAGAATGTCCCTTTTTCAGGAGCGAGATATACTGAAGAAGAGAACGAACGAGAGAGAGAGAGGAAGAATCTGAGCCGTACACGTCAGCAGATCTAACGGAATGGGATGGAAAATCTGGTGAAACGATGCGGACTCTCTCATTGGATTCTGATTCTGACGACATCACTTCCCCTCTCTCCGGCTGTGTTAAACCAATGGGACTCGCACACTTCACTGAATAATGTACTAATGTTTCCACAATATATACATATATATATATGATAATTATTATTTTATGATAAAATTTTGTTATGTAAAAAAAAAAGCAGAAAAGAAAAACAAGCTTCCAGGTGTTTTTTAAATACCAACTTTCAAGAGTTGTGCTTGCAAGCAGGTCGGCCTTTTATTATATATAATTTTATAGAAAATTATCATAGGAATAAAATAAAGATTAACAAGATATCTTTTTATCTTGATTAAAATTTTATTTTAAAATTTATTGTACGTTTACTACATCTTTATTTTGTTAAGTTGAAGAACAAATATATGGAAAAAAGTTTTTTTTGTGGGTTAGAGATTGTAAAAGATTGTTATGTTATGATTTAAGATATAAGTTATTAAATTCAAAAGGCCATTTTAAAAAGAGAAATTCCAAAAAAAAATAAACTTTCTAATTTTGATAAAAAAAAATACAAATACCAAATTTTTTATCTTATCGAATAAACATTAAACTTTTTAAGTTTACTTACAAAAATACTTAACTCTTCTTTAATTATCAAAATAAACAAAATAAACTGACGTATCATAAGAAAATGCAAACGTGTGTCACATTATTCTAGCGGACCTTTTTTTTATAATTGTATATAGTTTATATATTTTTTTGAACCACTTAAAAATTTAATAATTTTTTGAAAATCCTAGAAAAAATTTTGTATTTTTTATATCATTTAAAAAGTTCAGTAATGTTTAGATTTAACAAAAAAAAATTAATATTTATTTGACAAGAAAAAAAATAATATTTTTTGTCAACATTAGAAAGTTTGATGTTTTTTTTTTCCTTTTGAAAAAGATTGTTATTTACTTATCATAAAAAATATTTTATTCTATGCTATTATTTTTAAAAAATATGATTTAGGTTTTTCGGTTTTATATTTATAGTTTTTGTTTTGTTATTATTCTTTCATAACTAAATCGAATCAAACCATTTGATCATAAATTTATTTTGTTTAATTTGAGAAAATATACTCATTCGTCATCTTAACAAATCTTAACAAACTATTACTTGATGTATACAGAGGATTTTTTTCATGGGAGTAACATCCAATCCTTATGGCATATATTTTGCATTTTGTCATTCAAAAAACTCTGTGTTAAAAAAAATAAAATAATTTTGAAAAAAAAGAATACGAATACACATAGAAATAAAACACAAAATCGTGGAAAATTTTAAGGTATGGATCAATGTTTTTTAAAGAATATATTTACCTATACAAAGTTGGTTCGAGTTTTAACAAAATATTTTCGCGATACAATGAGATTTAGTTTTTCTCAAAAAAATCTTTCTCTTAATTTTTATTTATAAAACACTTATGAAAATTATAATTATAACACAAAATTATATGAACTATTTATAAAACATAAAAAAAAATTCATATTCCACTAAAAATATTGTTAATGCACATTATCAGAGAACACCATTATTTTTACTTAAATATTTGATAGTGGGTGTAAGAATAATGATTTTGTGGTATTTAGATATAAATGTGCATATAATGTATATAACCATGCAGTGGCGGATCCAGAAAATTTTTTCACCGGGGGCAATACGATAATAGTAATATATATAATATACAAAATTAATAAAAATATATCGTCTAAAGAATATTTATATCGGATAACTGAATTTTACGTTTTTTATTTTTTAAATATATTTATGTAATTCAATTTCTAATTATTTTAAATATATTTTTGATAAAATAAATCAGATAATTTATAAAAAATTATGTATTCTCGTTAAAATTTTACCACAATATTAAGATAATATTACCAAATTATTTTAAAATAAATTTATCGATTTTTCTGATAAATCAAATAAAAAATTAAATAAATATATAAATATATATATAGATAAATTGATAAATATAATAAATACATAAAATCAAATAAAAAAATTGTTTAAAATAACAATCATAATTTTTAAATATGTTTAAATTTTTTTATTTATAGTTTTAGTTTGATTATTATTCAATTGATAATGATTTTTTGTTTGATCAAAGATAAAAATAACAACTTAAAAAATGGAAAACAAGAAAAAAAAGGAAAAAAATATGGGACATAAGATTTGATTTGTTAAATCTCGTAAAATACATTTAAAATGAAAAACGGTGGGGTCCAAACAAAATTTAAGTGGGGGCATTAAGGGTGTTTTTTTAGAATTTTTCTTAAATTCTATAAATAATTTTAAAAAAAATAAAAATTAGTGGGGGCCAGTGCCCCCACTCATTCTCAAGTGGATCCGCCTCTGTAACCATGATACGCATAATGAGATAGTGGATTTGGATTTAATTATAGTTATTTACAAAATAACTCTCATATAGTAAAGATTATCTTAGTTGCAATTTTACAATTTGCAATCTATACTAATAATCCTCCATTATATTGTTAATTTTGAAAAAATCTATAATATATTATGATAATTCATAAAGAAGGATTATTGTTAGATTTAAACTCTTTGTTAATAATAACTCTTCAATACTCTAACAATACGATCAGTGACTTTAAATTTATTTCATTTACTATTATAATCTATCCCAATCGAATCAAATTTTTAGTTGATTACAATTTTCATTAGATATGATCGGATCAAACCCAACCATATTCGAACTGAAACGATTAAAATTCAATAATTATTTCGTTATAAAATTTTAAAATTATAAATAACTGAACTCAAATAAACTGTATCTAAATTTTAAAATTATAAATAACCGAGTTCAAATAAACTGTACCTAAATAAACCGAATAGAAAAGTTCGTTCATGTCGAACTAGGGCATAAAACCCAAAACCTAACTAGGATATAAAACTCCAAAACCTAACTAGGATATAAAACTCCAAAACCTCAATTATAAATTTATAATATATATGATTAGGTGCTTTAAGTGGAGAGGACCTAAGTAATTGGAGTATATGACTTAAAAGTATAAAGGATCATTGATACCAAATATTTTAAAATAATGAAATTGAATAGTATATAATTATAATGTAAATCAACTTCGAAATTATTTTATTTTAAATCATATTATATTAATGTCGATAGAATATAAAAATAACCAAGATTAAAAATGAATAGATTTAAAATCCCGTCTAATAATCGAATCTAGATATAATTTATCAAACCATGGAAAAAAAAACTGAACTGAAAATCCTAAATGTAAACTTTAGATTTGTGGATTGTGCAATATGCATTTTCTTTGTCACTTTTTAAGATGAAAATTTCAAAATTTACATCTTTATTACTTAGACCATAACTGTGTATATTAGAATATATTAGGATGAGACTATAATTTTAGCTATGTTTTTGGTTGAGTTGTAAATTAGAAGACATCTGAATGAATGTTTTTGTCTGATAATTGTAGAAAAGGATAGTGTTGTGATAATTTATATCTGTTCATATTAAAATTTTAGTTTTGATAATTTGGAAAATGATCAATTATGAACAATTGAGTTAGGGGTGGGTTACATTTCAAATTTATTGATTTATTTTATGTATTAAAATCTAAAAATTAATAAAAAGAACCAATATTGATGAGATAGTTTAAATCATATCAAAACTTATAAAAAAAAATACTCTTTTAGGATTTTGTAAAGATTGTAATACTTGAGAACATTTTTTGTTTAGTTATAGTAAATAAATCTAGAAAAAGAAAAAGTTAATTTTTTAAATATCATCAATGCATATATATATAATAAATTATATTGTTTAATTTGCATAATATATATAAAGTAAAAATTAAAATGATTTTAGGGTGATAAATAAATATTATTTTTTTAATCATATATAAATTTAGTTTTTATAATTTATAAGAATATATAATTTAAAATATTTAACTGAGAAATTAACTAAAATTTAGAAATATTATTGTTAATTTTAATTATAAACAGTTTTATTAGTATTAAAGTTAATAATTAATAATATAATAATATAGGCCTAAAAACGGAGATTAAAATATTTGATATATATATATATATATTATAAAAAGAAGAGTATCGGACGCCACTTATTTCTTAAATTTAATTAAATGAAAATTTTCCTCCACGTGCCTTTCTCACCTCTCTCCCACTGTCCCACACAACACCCACTTTATTCCTCTTCTTCAATTTTCATTCTCTTTCCCAGAAAATCTTCTTCAAATCTTCTTAAATCCTTCAGAAATCTCGATTCTCTTTTCTGTTTTCGTCATTCACAAAGCTCGCTTTTGCAAGTTGTTACACCGCCCCATATCTCAGAGGCGCGCTACTCACGCCTTGTACAGAGCGCGCAGAAGGCGCCCCTAGGGCCGCTCCCTGTATTTCGCCTTGCCTCCAAGTCTGGAGGCGATTTTCTCATCGCATATGCGCCTCAGCGCCTCAGACAATGGGATGTTCAGCGACAATTCTGCTCAGACGATGGGCACATCGTTTTCTTTGACGAAGCAAAGCGGGAATCCAGTAAAGTACAAGCTTGTTCGGGTACATCTTTTGATCCTTTTATGACTTTCCTGTTTTACTTGTCAGATTTGCTTCTTTTTGGAATTAAGAGTTCTCAGTATTACCTCTCTTCAAGCTTTGACCTTCAAAACCTAATTTTTGGTGTTCTATTGATGCTCAGGTTGCAGGAGACGGGAGACTAGTGCCCGCTACTGATGAAGAAATCATAGAGGTTGAAGACTTGCTTGAGAACGATGAGACTGATATGCATATTGTAACTCATACTGGTCAGACTGTAGAGGATATTTCTGATGATCGATTGCCTTCTAGGTTGCCACTGTTAGAAAGTTCAGAAGGTTTGATTCTCATAATCCTGTAATTTTGTTTTTCACGGTGAACATCCTGTTTAAAGCCTCTGTGGGTTTAATTGTTCTGGTGGGGTTTATTGCTAGAATCTTGGACCTTAAAGGCTTAAAGAGAATCATGTCTCTATGCTTGGTAATGCACTTTGCCCTACTGCAGTTCACTAGCCAATGGCGGCAGAGAGAGATGATCATATATGCAAGAGAATAGAAACCTAAACGTTTTGTTTCTGTAACCTTGCAATTAGATTTTGTGTACCTAGCTGATGCAGTACACAAACAACTAGATTCATACCGATCTTCTTCGTTTACCTATAGCACTTTCTAGAATGATCTGAGATTTACTGGGTGCACATAGGGTTCTTAATACACTAAACGCATGATGAACTGTAGGATACTGAGGACTGCAGAAAAGAGATAAGCAAAATTATGTCTGAGTTAGACTCTTTGGCTGATGTTTAGCTACATACGCATAAATTTGGTTGTCTCTGGATTTCATGTGTAGTGTAGTCTATTTTTTTTTTAAAATTATTGTGTAATTCTTATGTTTGGTGAAATATTTCTACATATGTCTCAGCTACGAATCTAGGTTTGTCACAGTCTGACAATACAGAGGCATCTCCAGACAAATTAGCTTCGCAACTTGAGGTTTGTCTACCTTCTATAAATTCTGGAAACAGGGATTTCTATTTCCTACCTATCTATCACGTTTATAATTACCATATCCTTTTTTTCTGGTTTCAAATGTTGAGATGTTAGAACTTTAAGAGTTCTATCTGGCATTCTTTTGCAGTATACTGTGGAGATGTTGCAAAGGGTGGAAGAAGAGGTGAGGCTCTGCATGGCACATGAACCTCAGATGCTTTCTGCTTGTTCGGATGCCAACATTCAGTGTTCTAATGAAAGCAACAAGTTGTTTAGTAGTGATGTTAAAGTTCAATCTGAAACTCTGCTACAGGATTTAACTCAGGATCAGAACGGATGTGGTTCTAATCAACAGATGAAGGCTGAACCATGCTTGAATGTGGTGGGTAGTCCGCAAGAAGCAGTATTTTCCACCTCTGCCCAAAAACCTGATTTTTCAACAGTAAGAGGTGACATATGTTTGGACAATTTATCAATCAAAGCACTGCACGAAACATTTAGAGCAACATTTGGCCGTGAAACTACTGTGAAGGACAAACTCTGGCTCAAAAGGAGGATAGCGATGGGCCTGCTTAATTCCTGTTATGTATCAACAACATGCTTGACAATCAAAGATAACAAACTGATTGGAGGTCAAAAGGAGAACTTTAACTGTTTGAATGATGATTTTAGCAAGGACGTGGTAGATGAAATAAGAGTTGATGATAGCAACAAAGAAGCAGCAAGTGGCCCCTCTGATCAAATAGATGGATTTGCAAGTGCTTCAGGTGATAGTTCCATGGATAACTTTGGAAATCATGAATGTGGAGGTGAAGATTTTGCCAGTGAACATAGAGCTGAAAAAAGACAACGGAAACCTACTCGGAGATACATTGAAGAGCTTTCAGATACTGATGATAGACAACGAAGTGGCAAGTCGATGAACCCGTCAAAGAATCAGAGGCTATCCCCTAAATCTCAGATCAAAACTATTAGGGCAGTGTCTTCAGGAGGACGTCTTGTTATAACCCGGGTGGTCTACCTCGCTGGGTCTAGAATGCAAGTTCCGTTTGTTTTTCAGACCCGGAGAGGTCGTCCAAGAGAAAACATAATGGCTCTTGTGGTATTTCTCCTTATTGACTTGTGCTCTTGAACATCTCTATTAACCCCATTTCCAATCTGTTAGCTGTAAATTTTGGTGTCCTGCTTCTGTTAGATCTGTGCAATGTGTTACATGAAAAATTCTGTCTCATGAGGCGTATAAACAAAAACAAACAGAGAAAGAGATGTTCTTTCTATTGGTTTTGAATCATAGCTTATATTACCGTTATTCAGTGTGGTTAATGCACTGTTTGTATAACCATTGTGTAGGATATCCAACCCGGTTGGTTGGAGGAAAAAGCTACTCCTGCGGGGAACAGCCAGAGACTGAGCCCATCTCAGTTGAATGGTGACAATGTCAATGGAGGTTTGATCATCAAGTCTGCTTTTGAACATGGCCAGAAAGAAGTAACTGATTTGTCATTTCCTACATCTTTCCATAAAATCAATATTATAGTTATACTCCTTGCAGTTTATCTGGGATTAAGATGAATTCAGTTCCAGAGATGATACAATTTCTCGCTGTCTTCTTTGCTTGCAACCATTTTTCAGAGCAAGAATGAACACTCGAACTCTGTTCCCACTGTCCTGGACCGAGATATGGAGCCAGAACAAGTGGAGTTGTCTGGGAATAGCTCGGATGAGAATCATGTTGGTATGCCAACATTCAACAGTGCATTGAGAAGGAAGCATCATCGAGCTTGGTCTTTATCCGAGGTTATAAAACTTGTCGAGGGTGTTGCCAAGTACGGAGCAGGGAAGTGGTCCGAGATCAAAAGGCTTTCTTTTGCATCCCATTCCTATCGCACTTCCGTGGATCTCAAGGTAAAAATCCCGTTGTTTACTTCCTTTCCGATAGTCTATCGTAAGAGTTTTGTTACCACAATCTCTCAAGACAAACGGTGCGTCTGTCCATTTTTTGGTAGGACAAATGGCGGAATCTGCTGAAAGCGAGCTTTTCCCAGACACCTTCGAAGAGAATGGCAAGCACACCATATATATGTCTGAAGTTAACATTTTCATTTTTTTACGAAGAACCCATCGCTCATCTCGCTAGTTGTATTGCAGGGAAGCATGCGAAAACATGGCTCGACGCCCATACCAACTCCGATATTGTTACGGGTAAGAGAGCTTGCAGAGAAGCAATCACAGGTTCCAGCCGTAAGCAAGGCGAAGGATAAAAGAACAGGGTTCCTGTAGGGTTTGGTTGTTGTCTCTTTTTTTGTAGGGAAGGACTGCAGAAAAGAGATAAGCAAAATTATGTCTGAGTTAGACTCTTTGGCTGATGTTTAGCTACATACGCATAAATTTGGTTGTCTCTGGATTTCATGTGTAGTGTAGTCTATTTTTTTTTTAAAATTATTGTGTAATTCTTATGTTTGGTGAAATATTTCTACATATGTCTCAGCTACGAATCTAGGTTTGTCACAGTCTGACAATACAGAGGCATCTCCAGACAAATTAGCTTCGCAACTTGAGGTTTGTCTACCTTCTATAAATTCTGGAAACAGGGATTTCTATTTCCTACCTATCTATCACGTTTATAATTACCATATCCTTTTTTTCTGGTTTCAAATGTTGAGATGTTAGAACTTTAAGAGTTCTATCTGGCATTCTTTTGCAGTATACTGTGGAGATGTTGCAAAGGGTGGAAGAAGAGGTGAGGCTCTGCATGGCACATGAACCTCAGATGCTTTCTGCTTGTTGGGAAAGGAAATGCGTTTGTGGGTATATATGCAACCAAAGTGCGTTTGGATCCATCTTTGTCTCCATTACCAATAAAATAAGGGAGCTCCTTTGTATACTTGAATACACTACGTACTCGTCTCTTGCTCTTGTGCGAGAATCTCGTACTCATTCTGTCAAAGACTCAAAGTTTTAAAGCTAAAACGTAGACTTCACACATCGCACGTGTTCTCAGTAAGGACATGTGTCAGGTGTGAATTGGTTGTCCGTATATCACATATTGCACGTGCTTTATTTGGTCTCAACCTCATTCTCACCTCGTTGCACTCGTCTTCGATATCGTTGGTAGTGAGTTCTCGAATTTAATCACCCATCGCTGATGTTTAGGAATCCAAAGTGAAAAACCTCTTCTTCCACGCTTGACTCTGTTTTATTTATTTTATTCACAATTTTCATATGAAGGAAAATTAAAAACGGAAAATTGTATTAAAATATATGAATTTGGAAAAAAAAAATGTTATATAAAAACAGGAATTTTTAATTTAACAAATATTCTATCTTGATGATGTTTATCAAATATTAAAAAAAAACGACGTGAAACAATCTTTTAATTTTTGACTGACGTTACCCAAACTTGGGTGGTGTTGACGATAATAAAAAAGATATTGGAGATTTGATGGAGGCATCCATTGGTGATTACAGTTGAGCAAGGGATTGAGTGGATCTTATTAAAATAAAGGACTTACCATTTGTATCATTAGCCGTTTGTGGCTAATTTAGTTTCCTTATTTTTATTAATCTCAAACTATTATATGAACACATATATGAGCAACACAACGTGCGGCTAATTCAAAAAAAGAGTTTCTTTTTCTTTTGCCTTTTCATTCGAAACTCTATTTTATATTTATCATGTTTTCAATCTTTCATCAAATATAAAATTCTTCGTATAGTCTAATGGTAAGATAATATGTAAATCATGTTCTTATTATGGGTTTAAATCTAATCGTGAGGAGAGATATTCACCTGAATTTTTTTGTTTTCTAGAAGATATAGTTCGACTGAAGATTCGGTGAACTTCCGAATTATCCAAAAAGAAAAAATGATACGTTACATTTATATTCGCATAATTATCGCTTCATCGTCGTCACATCAATAACACATATATATACCACGTCAGCAATTTAAAAAAAAATAACATTACACCAATTATATGTATATATGGAAATTTTCAAATGCATACGTTCAATAAATATAATTTTTTTTTCTCCAATGCAAATTTGAATTTTTCTTTCAAATTCATATCCGAATACGTTAGCTTAATAACTTTTTCAGCAATCGATGCTGAAAAAATGTGATCGTAGTGAACATCACCTTCCTATGTCCCTTGTTCGGTCGGGTACGATACAATGCCCAATAGATAAGCCCAATATGCATCAGAAATTTGAGGGCCCAAAATGGTGTCTAGGCCCATTTTGTTTTTACAAAGGCACCCAATACAATACCGTTTTTTTTTTGGTACTAAACGCAAACAACGCCCTATTAGAGTCTCTCTCTCTCTCTCCGCGGAAGGTGTCCCTGAGATCGGCTTCCACGGTGAGTGGCTCGTCAATCTTCCTACTTTTATCATGCCCGAGTATTGATTTTGGCGCTGATTCACTAACAGATTGCTGATATTCAATTACGGAGCTAAATCGTGTGGGTGTTTTGTCGTGTTTAATATTCGACTTTTGTTTGGTCGAATACATGTGGGTAATAGCTTTGATTTCGTGTTTTTTTTCCTGGTACTCCGAGGATTTTGTTTGTGTCTTTGTCTCGATTGATTTCTTCCAGGAAGCTATGTTTTTGTTCGTAGTAATGCGCTTGGATTGGATGTTCTTTGGGTTTGATTTTAGCTTCTTAATTGCGTTATTCGACCCAGTTTGGAATGTGGGTTTATTTAATACTAGTTTGATTATTCTTTGTCGTCCATGAATGGTCTGTTTCGTCGTTTTGTTTTTTGACGCGGAGACAAATTTCCATATCACTCTCGTCTTTTCTCTCTTTGTAGCCGTAGGAGGAGCAGCAACTCTGAAGCCAAAATGGGGATCATTGAAAAGATTAAGGAAATCGAGGCCGAGATGGCTCGGACTCAAAAGAATAAAGCTACAGGTTTTACTTTGCCACTCATGATTTGTAATTATCAATCTCATGCTCACGTCTGAATTATTCTGTAACTGTAAACTGTCTTGTCTCCAAAAATTTTATGGCCCTTATGTGCTGCAGTGTCCATAGGTTCATGTCTAGGGTCGGTAATACATCGGTTACAGCTTGACCGAGATTGAACTGTCACGATACATAAAGATTCGGTAGGACGATGTTGCAGTGATGCATGGCTTCTAGAGTTGTTTATTTGAACTTCTCTAAAGATATTCTTCATTGTGATATTATCATGGGGAACACGATTTCTTTCATGGCTCTTTATGGATTACAAAAAGGATGCACTTCCTTCATTTTGAACATATGGTTGTCAATATTCTTTTCGAATTACTGGGATTTTTCCATGGACGCTCTTTCCATGTTTCCAAGTGCATGAGCTATGGGATGGTCAAGGGCATCAACACTGGAAATAGATACAGGAAACAGGAAGATATACCTGCATCTGTTAAATGCACTAAATGGGATTGTAATCCTTTGTAGTATGTCATAGATTTCTCATTCGATCATGTCTCTAACCTTTTCAAATGTAGAGATTCATATCAGTGACAATGAGAGAAACATACGATAAATATTATAAGTTTTCATCGCTGCTTCTCTTTTCTTTTTTCTAAGCTTATGTTTGTCCAAACAAGCAGAATAAATAGTCAACTAATATGTGTTGCTCTGCTTGATCTACAGAGTATCATCTTGGTCAGCTCAAGGCAAAGATCGCAAAGCTCAGGACACAGCTGTTAGAGCCTCCCAAAGTACTGCAAGTTTCTTTAAAATTGTCAACAATGAGTCTAACCACATATTCATGGATCATCTGCTGTTTGTTTTTGGAAAATTTTATCATACGAGAAGGAAAAAGGATATGCTCTGTTCTTGACATATTTTTTCGGCCGAATAAAATAGAAAGAATGGACTTTCTCTGTGTGAATCATTGATTTGTTTATTGTTCTGTAAATTGAACACATATTTAAGAATTTAATACTACAGGCATTACCTGCTTTTTAACTAAAATCATGTATGTACACTGCTTGTATCTAAAGGAGAGCATTAAAATGCCATTTCTTTCTTTGCCTTTAGTCTGTAACGGTTTTCTGAATATGTCTTATCAGGGTTCCAGTGGAGGTGGGGAAGGTTTTGAAGTTACAAAGTATGGTCATGGACGTGTTGCACTGATAGGCTTTCCAAGGTTGAGCACATTAAACACTAATACTCTCACAAAACCATGCATATGTATCTTCTTTTTCTGAAATTCCGGTGCATCTTAAAAGATCTCCCGCTTGGGCACGTGAAAGCTAATGGATGTGGCTGTAAATTGCAGTGTTGGAAAATCCACTCTTTTGACAATGTTAACTGGCACCCATTCTGAAGCAGCTTCGTATGAATTTACAACGCTTACATGCATCCCTGGAGTAATTCATTACAATGACACAAAAATTCAGCTGCTCGATCTTCCGGGAATTATTGAAGGTGCTTCGGAAGGGAAGGGGCGTGGGAGGCAGGTCGATATCCCACTGCTTAGTTTTCTTGTTTTTTGAACCTGAATCCCCTGATAGACTCATTTTGTGTCCATGAATTGATGATTTATGATTGATGTGCCACCTTATGAAAGCAGTGGTGTATTTCTATCAGTTTCTTGACGACGCAAAAATATTATCATTATTCTATGAACCTTGATTGAGACTGCTTATTTCTTAGGTTATTGCTGTCGCAAAGTCTTCTGACCTTGTGTTGATGGTTCTTGATGCGTCAAAAGTAAGTTTTGCAGTTTAATCTTATAGCTGTTCGTGCATGCAGTTTTAAGTGTTTGTGCTGTCTTCTGGCCATGCTACTTCCTGTTGGATCTTACTTTTTGTTCTTCTAAAATGGTTTAGAGTGAAGGCCACAGGCAAATATTGACTAAGGAACTTGAAGCTGTGGGTTTGCGGCTCAACAAAAGACCACCACAGGTTAGCTCTTCTTTAAGAGTGATGCATATATATTTCAGCTGTAATATCTATTATCTCATGCTTTAGACCCTCCTTTAGTTGACCCACCCACTGTTAGCTTGATTTTACATTATCCTTTATTCCTTGCTGAGAAAATCAGTTTTATTTCTTTTTTATTCTACATATTTGATAGAACCCACCCCATAATGAGCCCAATTAAATCACTCTGGGGCCTATGAATGAAATTCACCCCAAGAGCTAACTTGTTGGGAGAGGATCAACCAATCTCATACTCAGTCGACGCGGGATGCTAATAATCCTGCTTCCTTTCGGCGGTGACAATCGTTGCGTTGGTGGCTTCTTGATTGCATGACTTTTCACCCCTATGTGCTCTTCTCCCATTCATTCCTCTCCCGCTTCTTTCGTCGCATACCCTAGGATTGCCTTTGATACCAATTTGATAGAACCCACCCCAGAACGGGTCCAATTAAATCTCTCTAAGACTCATGAGTAAAACTTACCCGAAAAGTTCATTTGTTGGGGAGGGTGCCTATAGCCTTAAGTCATCAACCGATCTCACAGTTGGTCGACGTGGGATACTAACACTATTGTTGTGTCGTGACTCGTGTTAATTTCGGGCTTCTTTTCTTATAGGACCAAAAATCAACTTCTGGTCTTGTTATTCTGATAGGAGTTGGCCTTTCAGAAATACTGCTCTAACCTGATGTACTCTACTCAGAAAATTGATTATTGTTCTCCTTGGAATTTAATTTCGTATTACGTTTGTGTTGCTCGTTCTGTTCAACAGATATACTTCAAGAAGAAAAAGACGGGAGGAATTTCTTTCAACAGTACAATGCCCTTGACTCACATTGATGAGAAGCTTTGTTATCAAATTCTGCATGAATACAAAATTCACAATGCAGAGGTAATTGATATTAGTCCTTGCCTTGTCAGAGGGTTCGGAGTAGAATTTCAGTAACTATATGTTTGGAGTGAAGTTCAATCGCAACTAAAACGATAAGAAAAGAGAAGTGTCACCTTTAAAACAAATACTTCTTATGTACATTCTGCTTGGAGAAAAGCTTTCTCGTAGTACTTTCTGTTGTCAAGGCATTCTTCTTATGAATTTAGTGCTGAATATTGCAGGTGCTATTTCGTGAGGATGCTACAGTGGATGACCTTATTGATGTCATTGAGGGCAACCGAAAATATATAAAATGTGTATATGTATACAACAAAATTGATGTTATTGGGATTGATGATGTGGATAGGCTAGCACGACAGCCAAATTCCATCGTTATCAGCTGCAATCTGAAGGCAAGTTCTATTACATTGACAAAAACAATGGCTGATGATGTTTCTCTAGATCTGCAAGGATGGTGACAAGTAAAACCCCAACACAGTACCGTTCTAGCTTCATCATGAAGATTGTAGCCCCTAAATGGGCGAACTTTGCTATTTGATTGTATTCCAAGTTCAACAATCTTGATTGATTGGAACCCCTCATGTAATAATGGTGTTTGTATTGCTTGGCACAGCTAAACTTGGACAGACTACTTGCAAGAATGTGGGATGAGATGGGACTTGTGAGAGTTTACTCAAAGCCTCAAGGCCAGCAACCTGATTTTGAAGAGCCCTTTGTCCTCTCAGCTGTAAGTATTATTCGATAGTCACTGCAACATACTGTTGAAACTTGTCCTTTTACAAACCCATGCTCCTAGGGTGGATCGATGCTTTTTCCCTCCCTTTTCCTGTTTTTTTTTGTTTTGTGTAAAAGGAAAAGATTAAAAGACAGATATCTGTAATTATACTTGGGTTTTCCCGTGATTCCACAGGATAGAGGTGGCTGCACAGTTGAAGACTTCTGTGACCATGTCCACAGGACTCTGGTGAAGGATATGAAGTACGCACTCGTGTGGGGCACTAGCGCAAGGCACTACCCTCAGCATTGCGGTCTCTCTCACCGTCTTCAAGATGAAGATGTCGTCCAGATCGTCAAGAAAAAGGTACAGATCATCCTGTAACTTTAGACTAAATCTTCAACTTTATTTCTGTTCCATGAGAGGATTGCTAAAAGTAAATCTATTTCTTGGGTTGTTGAAATTCCAGGAGAAAGAGGAAGGGGGAAGAGGTCGATTCAAATCACACTCGACAGCACCCGCGAGAATCTCAGACAGGGAGAAGAAAGCTCCTCTAAAGACCTAAGACACAAGTTAGCTGACTTCTCTGCACTTAGGATTTGAGCATCTCCCCAATCATGGATGATTTCGAGAAGGTAAGATTTCTCTGTTGTATTTTTTTAATATAGTTTTGAATCGTTTTCTACTTCATGGTACAAGGGCTCAAACTACGGACTTGAATCCCAAATTATGTTCTAGAAATAGAATTATCGGTTGCTATTTTCATCTGAAGTCAGGTTTTTTCCATGAGTATACCTCGAAACCATTTTGTTTCTGTGATCATGAAGAAACATTTCTGGGGAGTTACTGAAATATAACTCTACTCGGTTTTATGTGACATCAAATTTTCCATGTCCTGATGCTCTGAGCCCTTCTTAATATGGTTGTGACTATGGTTATAACCAGTCGAATCCAAAATGTTGAAACCCATCTTCAAACTTCCATGTTTGGAGATTTAGGTTTTTGATCTTTGTTTCGTGTTATTTTTTCATGCCCAATTTTTCGCCGGCACGAGTAATAAGCCAATCTATTCCTTGGCTGTTTTTTTTTTCCAAAAGCAAGAAAAATCTTTGGAAAACGGCCTAAATGGCCAAACCAACTGTAAGGTCACATTTTCGGAACCATTCCTCTAATATTCATATGACAAGATTACACAAGATTTTCTGTATCTGTATTTCGTGTATGTGTCCCGAGGAATGGTTGTGAAACCAGGAAAGATTACCAACAAGTTGTTGCAGCAGTCGAGGCAAATTTCAAGCTTCACGGGCTCTTCGTCCATACCCGGATAAAAGATCGGGTCGTAAAGGTCAGTCCACTGGTTACACAAGGGATCTGAGCCACCATTGCTCTTTAGATTTCCTTTGCAAGACACCGGCTGTTTCTTCTTGAACTTTGGTGGATTCTATCAAGTCAGTGTAACCCAGTTTCCTCTTATAATACCCCTCCTCGAGTAGGCTTCCCGAGAATGTAACCGGGGACAGAGATGCAGACGGGGTTGACGTCTCGTCCCGAAAGTACTCTGAGCTCGAGCCTGACAATAATGGAAGCTTAACCAGCCATGACTCTGGTTGTGAGATTGTTCTTCCTGACCTGTACAGTGTCATGTTCGGGCAAGCTGCTCTTGCTCGAGTGAGCTTCTCCCATGGCCTGTCTGCCACCCACCGGTCTTGTTATAACTGATTTTAGTCGCAGGAGAAAAATACTCCGAAATCTATCTGAGTTATACGATATTTTGGATGGATAATCTTCAGAGCGAAGGAGAAAAAGAGTACACCCTTAGCTTTTTTTAATCGGCAGAACCACATGAACCAATAACACATGAATCCGTTCTACGATCAGCAGAGGGCGAATTATTTTAAATTTTACTGTACATTTATCACGACATCGTACATTCACCATTGGTCCTCTACCATTTACTTCTTGAATTTCAGTATTTTATCTCGTCTTACAGATATTTTAATATCCAGAGTAATTAAAACTATATATTTGGAATAGAATTTTAAAACCTAAAATCCGAATTATTTAGATTTCAGAATCAGATGTACCAAATTCTCATATATCCGAGATCCAAGTAATCTGGTAGCAACCTCCGATTTTTTTTTTTTTTTTTTCCTTCCAATTTTGCCTCCTAAAGTCGTATAATGTAAACAACGGTTTCTCCTAAACCACCGGCCCGGGACGCACGTGGGCTCGTTCACGCGTCAAGTGATCAACCGCTTGTCTGCATTATAATCCAACGGTCCAGATTAAACGCACCTCGACACTTGTAGAACCTGTGTTGCCATAAAGTCGAAGACGGCAAGATAAAGATCTATCAGCAGACCCATCCGTATCCATGGCGGATCACAAGCCTAACTCTCCATCAGGTAAAGCGACACTTCGATTCAATCTCATGATTTTAGGGTTTTTTTCTCTTTTCATTCCCTCTTTTTCTGGGTTTTTATCGACGATTAAAAAACCTACTGTTTGGGTAATTTTTGGATATTTTCTCCGGTTCTGCGATGAATTTGAGTGAAACAGATTGAAATTAGCCATACGCAGCCATGAGGAGATTCAATCTTGAAAAGGGTCGTTCTTGGTTACCATTTCTATGTCGAATCATAGATTTGTGTCTCTTCTCAAGTGGATGATCCTTTTTCTTCTGCATCAACATCATCATCATCATCATCATTAGTATTCAGGGAACGATCATACACAGATAACTTTTCTCCTTCTTTCCCTGTCCGGACAAGATTGCCTTGTCTGATGCTCTGGTTGCTTCTCCTCTGCCTGTTTGTTTGTGCAGAGAAGAAGGACGTCAAGGCACCGAACGTGTTCGAGAGAGCGAAAGAAGAGATGGAAGCGATGGCACATTATGATAAATCACCTCGACATCACAAGGAAACTCACGGAACAAGTGACGACATTGATGAGAGCACAGCTGTTGATGATGTGAAAGGACCCAGTGTCCTTGAACGCATGAAGGAAGAGATCGAAGCCATTGTCGACGCAGTCCACCCGAAAAGAGACTCCGGATCCGATAAATAGCGCTTCTCAAAACTTTAAGAGTAGTTTGTTTCCTGAAATGGTTTGGCCTTTGTACTTTAAGAGTAGGCTCACCAAAACTATCCCAAAACTTTGGCATGCTACATTGAGATGTCGATTGCCAAATCGTATGTGTGTTCGAATTTTGAGTATTCGGGTTATCAGTTGGCGAAGACGAGTGGTCGAGATGACGGATAAAACGAGGCGAGAAAAGAGAGAGGAGCGGAAGAGGGCGAAGCTGGGTACCCGGCGAGCAGGATTTTATGCCAAAAAGTATGTAGTTTCTGACCATGCGATCTGTTTTAGCACGTAAAGCTTCCGGTGTCGAGTGTTCTCAGTGGAATATCCTTGCGTTTCTCTCGGCGGACCGTTCGACCGAACCATGGTCGAACATCTTGCCTTCTAAAAGTGTTTTCGCATCCGTAATGTTCGGGCTGCGGTATATCACTTCCTTTGTTCCAAAATATGCATTACCTGTTCAAACACCAAAGAAACGAAAACAATTCTTTAAACCAAACCAGTTAGGTTAGGTCTGTGGTTTTGTAAACTGCATGTGCAACTTCACCAGGAGATTGCAAGGATAAATATCTATATATATAGTATATGGTATATGAATATTTTTATTGAGAGTTTTTTTAAGAAAAGATTCAAAACCGATATTATATCATCATTCTCATACCAAATATCATGATAAGATTTGTTCTAAACCCATATATCATAATAACATTTGTTTTTTCAGATATAAAAACATATATGTATATCATAAAATATTTTTTTCTCTAAATTATGATATCTAATATATATATACATACAAAATATATATGTAATATATTTGGAGATATAAAAATATATTATCCATAACGTTAAAACCAACGTCTCTGCTAAGTGATAACTACTCTGGACCTGGGTAAGGCTAACCTTGGTTAGGCTCGGCCCATATAAAATCTCTGACCACTCCAAAATTATTTTCCAATGTCATCTCTCTCTCTCTCTCTCTCTCTCTCTCTCTCTCTCTCTCCGTATCTTCACTGCGTAGAAGAGATGTTGAAGATTTGTCGCTGGAAGTCAATCGGAATCCAACACTGCTTCTGTCTTGAATCTGTTTGATTCGATTCCACTCTCTGATAATCATATTGTAATCGATTACTCTCCGGCTTCAATCGCGCGCTCTCATCACTTTTCCTCTGTTTGGACTCTCGCTTTTACCGGAAATTCTCGTATTTTCTCTCGATTTTTTCCTTGATTCTCATCTGAGGCCAGCTCTGGAAACGGCAGAGTGGTCTGTGAGTTTCGGCGTTGGGCAGTTGAGACTCTCTTCTAGGGTTACTAGCTTTCGATTTGATGGAGCCGCGGGTCGGAAACAAGTTTCGGCTCGGAAGGAAGATCGGCGCTGGATCATTCGGAGATATCTATATCGGTATGCGCTTGAATTTCTCTGCTTTGACTCTTGTGTGGCGTGGTTTCTGTGGAAATTGATGACTGTTTAACACGTGATTCCTTGGATGATGTTTGAAGGCACCAATATCCAGACGAATGAAGAAGTTGCGATTAAGCTGGTAAGTGTTTCGTGTATTTTGCTTGTTGAAGTGGAAATTTACCATTTTCAGTGATAATTGAAGTAAACCGAACCGAATGTTATCTTGGTGATGTGAACGAAATCCTTGCATTTTCACATAACCTCGTTAGATATGAATGCCTTTTGAAGGAAAAAGAGGCAAGCTATACATTCTGTAGCTTCCTCCTCCAGTTTCCGTTTAAGATGAAGTTAATTACTATGGAGAAAGAGTACTACTAATCATATGGTCATAAATCTCAGTTTTCTTTTTTGGGACATAAAAGACACATGAGAAGCAATAAGCTTGAGGGCTAGCATTTAGCTAAGCAGTAATGCTGTTTGAATTCTAACCTTGTGAATGTGAATTGTATCGTCTAGCTGAGTCAGGACAAAAACAACTTGCAACTGGTAGGCCCAAACTTTTAGAAAAATAACTGATAATTGATGCTTGTTGTCTGTTGCTTGTAACTTCTGCTCTTAGCATCTCCTGTTGGTACTAGTTCTGGCTGTTAAGAATGTCATTTTCAAGTTTCTTGGTGTTCTTTTTTTTTCTTTGTTCGTTTCCTTATCTTTTAACGTTTGCAGTTTAATCGTTGTTTATTTCTGGTGTTCTTTTGGCATATATCTTCTGACGGCATCTCTTTCTCTCAGGAAAATGTAAAAACAAAGCATCCTCAGTTGTTGTATGAATCGAAATTGTATAAAATTTTACAAGGAGGAAGTAAGAGCCTAGCTCTATATTTGTTTACATTTCCTGTTTCCGATATCTTCTCTTTCTTATCCTAGAGGTTTACTTGTTTTTCCCTTGTTTTTAGCTGGAATTCCAAACGTAAAATGGTATGGTGTTGAAGGGGACTATAACGTCCTTGTGATAGACTTGTTGGGGCCTAGTCTTGAAGATTTATTCAATTTCTGTAGTAGGAAACTGTCACTGAAGACTGCGCTAATGCTTGCAGATCAAATGGTAGGATCCCTTCTGTTGAGTAAATAATTTTCTGCATTGATATGGGTAAATTTTCATAATTTTGGGATATTCATATTCCTCGTTTTAGATCAATCGCATTGAAATTGTTCATTCGAAGTCATTTCTACATCGAGACATCAAGCCTGACAACTTCCTCATGGGTCTTGGGAGGCGTGCAAATCAGGTCATTGTTTGAAAAGGGTGATTGTTTTGGATTTGGTTCCTCTCCTGATTTACTTTCTTAAATAAATTTTAGCCCAATGCAGGTGTATATCATTGACTTTGGCCTGGCAAAGAAGTTCAGAGACAGTACAACTCATCAACATATTCCTTACAGGTTGGTTATGACCTTGTGATTTTCCTCTATGAGAGTCTTTGTTTCTGATTAAATAACGATACGTGACACACAAGGATGGATAGAATTAGAAATGAGATTATTAGAAAGAAAATAGGAGTAATAGTAATCGAAGAGAAGGTACGGGAGGGGCGTTTAAGATGGTTTGGACATGTAAAACGTAGGCCGATAGATGCGCCGGTTAGAAAAGTGGAGAATATAGACCTAGACTTACTTGGGAGCCTGTCATTAGAAACGATTTGGAAGTGTTGCAGATTCCGAAAGAGTTAACCCGAGATCGAAATGAGTGGAGAAGAAGGATTCATGCGGCCGACCCCAAATGAACTTGGGAATGAGGCGATGTTGTTGTTGTTGAACAAAGTTTCTGCATTCATTCATGACCATGTTTCTCGATGTTACATGGGCATTCATGTTATTAACCTTTTGAACTTACCCTCTGGTCTTTCTTTTTAAAAAAGAAATTATTCTCTGGTTTTACGTCAATCCTCACAGAAAACCTAGTATCACTTCCCACTTTGTTTGTCTTTGGCTTGCTGTGCTGGAAGAAGATATGATAAAACTTTTTGGTCCAGTGCCTTGTAAAATTTTGATAATTGTAGTCTGCATTCTGTTATCTTTTTTATTGTTATTAATCTAATCTCATGTGCATATGACAGGGAAAATAAGAACTTGACTGGGACTGCTCGATATGCAAGCATGAACACTCATCTTGGCATTGGTATGCCATTTTATTTAGTTTTTTTTTTCTCTTACTACTTTAGAGAATCTGATTTTGGTTCCATTGTTAATTGTGCTATAGAACAAAGTCGTAGAGATGATTTGGAGTCCCTTGGATTTGTTCTCATGTACTTCTTAAGAGGAAGGTATCTACTTTTCCTGCTTTCACTGTTGCTGTTGGTTCTTCTTAGGGTTGCTGGTTTACTTAACCATTTGCATATAGTCTTCCGTGGCAGGGACTCAAAGCTGGCACCAAGAAGCAAAAGTATGAGAAAATCAGTGAAAAGAAAGTTTCAACCTCTATTGAGGTAAAATGATATCGGAGAGCCGTTCTGGTGATAAGTGTGATTGACAATACTTATATAATGGTTTTTGCTAATTTCTAGGCTCTATGTCGGGGTTATCCCTCAGAATTTGCATCTTACTTCCATTACTGCCGGTCTCTGAGATTTGACGACAAACCAGACTATGCTTACCTGAAACGACTCTTCCGTGACCTATTTATCCGTGAAGGTCTGGTTTCTCAAGTTAGCTTTTTTCTGAGACTGATGCAACGGATACAAAAGATATTTATACAAGTATGAATATGAACCCTGTCTAGCTATCTGGGATTTAAACTCACCAGTCTTGATCCCCTAATGTTTCAGGCTTCCAGTTTGATTATGTATTTGATTGGACAATCTTGAAGTATCAGCAATCACAGATCACTGCCACTCCTCCGCGCCCTCTTGTAAGTATCATGGCATCGAACGATTGTTATTTGACCTTTTGACTGTTTGATTCATTGGTCATGGACTTCTTCCAATATATTTTTGCAGCGTCCTGGAGTTGGGCCAAGTTCTGGCCTGCCCCCTGTTATTGCGAGTGCTGAGAGGCAACCAGGTTGTTCTACTCTGTCCATCAATAAACGGTCTTTCCTTCTATTTTGAGTGTTTTATGCTTGCTTTCCAGCCCCGCGATGAAGGGAATGAAAGATTAATTATATTCAGTTGTGCATGTAATGATGAGTTGTATGTTCCACTGAAAGGTGACTTGCACCTATCTGACTTAATCTTTGCCGTGCCCCACTGGTTTGACTGCAGGTGGTGATGAAGCTAGACCTTCTGGATGGGCATCGGGAGATCGTAGACGCAGCTCAGGACAAATTTTAAACTCTGGAAGCATATCAAAACAAAAAGCTCCAGTTTCAACTGATCCTTCCCTTTCTAAAGATGTAATGGTGAGTACATAAACACCATTGTATCCCTTCATGAGTTGAGTCGAATGCTGAAAATGAGCAATGGGTTTCTGAATTTATTCTCTGGGAGATCTGATTCTTTGTTTCTTGCATGTATAGTTATCGAGCTCCAGCTTTATGCGTGCAAGTGGATCATCATGGCGTGCGGCTATGCCCAGTGGTCGTGAGGCTGCTCTTGTGGGAACAACCGACTCTGAGCCTTCTAACCCGCAAGTCACTGAAGCTTGTTTGGGCTCTCACCCAAAGATAATACATGGCGTCATCTCATCCGAGAACAAGCTTTCGCCTTCAGGAGGAAATAATACTTCTGTCATGAAGAACTACGAGTCCAATCTAAAAGGGATGGAGAGCCTGCATTTTTAGTGGCAAAAGATGCGAGGATATGATATGATTGTCCTAAAACCCTGGGAAATGTTAACAGAAAAAGAGACAAAAGACTTTTTGCTACATGTGTATTTGCGTTTACAGGAGAGGGAAGCTGCCAAAGCTGCAAACCACAGACAGAGTACATGCCCCCTCATCGCTCATTCATATAACCAGCGGTCAGGAGGAAGGGATACAAGTACCAAGTTTTAATTCCTTCATTATAACTTGTTTTATTTTGTTTTTGTTTTTTTTTACGCAGGGGCGTGCGTGCGTGCGTGTGTGATTGTTGTATTTTGCTTTTCACCGCCACAGTTAATTGCAAAGGGAAGGAAGAAGGTTCGTTCACATGTTGCGTTTAACGAGTGAGTGCAGCAACGAAACTTGCTTTTCTATGGGCCATAGTATCAGACTAATTAATTGTTACGTAACCTATCGTTACCATATTGAGGTATCAACAGCGACTTGTCATCAAATTCTAGACTCCTGGAGATATATTTTTGCACACAAATTTGATGGTTTAGAGGTTAGGACCTATGAAGAATGTTCGAAATTTGTCAGAACGAAAGGACAACAAAAAAACGCTAGCTAATCTCAGATATTATATTACATTATTTATACTAAATATGATATGCCTACAACACTGACAGATGAATCGGAGAGACCGTTTCCTTTGCTTCGGATAAACACCAGGCACCACTCAAGCCAAGAGCACAACCTCTCCACGAGAACCTGTTAAACACACTTAACCCGACAATTAGATGACAGAAATCGAAACCTTGGTTGGAGAGAAACGAGTTCAGGAATGATCTCTCACATCGTTCGTGTATCTCTTTCGCAATCTCTAGAAAGACTTCAGTGTCTTCTGCCATTCTGGTCATCCTCTCCAACTCTTCCACTGCTCCCTTGGCCACGTCCACTTTGTTCTCCGCCTCCACCACCTTATAGGCCGCGGTTATTGCAGCTTCCTCCACCATCTCCTGAGAAACAGCCGGGCTCTGACTGTTGGATTGCCGATGTTTCAGATTGGTCTCTTTCTGTCTTTGGGCTGGTGATCTTGTTCCAGATGGATCGCTTATCTTATAGAAGCTCTGCGCCTGTACGTGTTTGGTTCCAGGCACGAAAGTAAACCTCAGTGGACAATATAATATACAACATGGAAATGTGATCATTTTCTGAGCCAAAATATTCTTGCTAAGCATGAATCAACCAGCTTGAACCATAAGCTTAAACATAAAACACTGCACATTAAAAAAACGTGAAAGGATTGCCAGTTTCCAAGCTAAGAGCCAGCCCCAGAAGTGAGAAAGTGTTGTACATAAAAGGGCAAGAGAAAAGCTCCATGTAACAAACGAGTGCTTCAAACCTTATAAACTAGGAAATAGCTAACCTTTTCAAGTTTCCCCTGAGCAGCGAGCCTCCTCAATCTCGAGCCAAGGATCCTTCTAAAATTTAGCGGCACCTCATGCTTTTTCTGCTATATTCAGATTAAACTACAGTTATACATTTAGAACTCAACCATAACAATGGTTAGCCACTAGGGACAGCAATAACAGGTAATGGGGATAAGTGGAGTTCGAAGAGCAGGCGAAGTACATCCTTTTTCTAGATTCTCATGATCGAATGCCCTTCGACAACTAGCATGAAACAATAACAGCAAAAAATAGTTGGTTAGTAGTATACAACTTCAGATTTCGACCTCGGTTTATTGGATTGAGAGAAAAGAATATCAAGAAGATTGATAACTACGACGGGTTGAAATACAGATATGATTCAAGTTGAAGTATTTCCAAGCTTCTGTATTTCCAAGCTTCTGACTTGCAGAAATAGCCAACAACAATAGTTCATTGCCATCCTTCAAATTGGACAACATATATAACAAACACTTGATTATGAACTGTTCAAAAGCCAACATAAGCATGGTATTTCTATCTGCTCATAAGATTAGCTTGGCTGTGTTTATAACATAAGCGGATAATCAGCTCCTGAATGAAACGGTGCTTCCCACCTCCAATAACTTATAAGATGGCACAGGGATAATGAGCAAATAGGGGTCTATGTGTGAGGTTGTCAAGTCAAAATGGACAAAACGTTACTAAAGAATAAATTCATATTATTTCTCAATCCGTGAAGATGCCGTTGATAACCCTCCCTATCTAAATGTCATGGGACTCTAACAGCTTTTAACAAATCAAGAAATCAGGCACGAAAAGGTTCTCGCTAGCACATATTAAACAGCAAAGAAATACTCAACTAACCGCAATGAAACTGACAATAGCACTGATATCAGACCCATTTGCATCTGATACGGAAGAAAGAGCTTCAAATATCATCCCATCGTACCTGAGAAAATAATCACTCACAAGTGTCAAACAATGCACCAAACGGATTCACCAAAAGATTATTACTTCATATCAAAGACCAACATTTACAGGACACGTGCATCAACAGACAGAAGGAAAAACATTGGCCACTTCAAGCAAGGGAAAATAGAAACTTAAGAAAGACAAACCTTGGAGTATTCTTCGCATCCACAGAAACGTTTAAAGAGTTATCATCCATGCTCAAATCAGAAGACGCACTATGTGGAAGGGAAGCAGCCGGGGAAGAATGAGTAGTGGGGGTTGCAGTACCAGTAGCGGCAGCAGCAGCTGCA